ATTTTTATTCTTTTATATGCTCAAAGTAGATTTTTTGAGATGATTTTAGTCAATTTAATACATTTTTTTAAAATTCCTACTTTTCTAAGAATTACTTCTTTATTATGAATGGATATTCAACTTTATTATCTAATTTTTGCTACTATTGAGATGCAGCATAAGATCGCTATCTTTTAATCTTTTAAGGGTTGCTCAGTTAGCTCAGGTGGTTAGAGTGCAATGTTATAACACCAAGGTCAAGGATTCAGATCCCAATACCAACCAGCTGCCAAAAAATTTTTAAAAAAAGTTGAAGATGGCAGAATAGATGGTCCCCAGTGTCACTCTCTCCCACAAATCAACCAATTTACAACTACAAAAAAGCAATGACAGCCAAGCTGGGGCCGCTAAAGCTCAGGGAAAGAGGAGGAGAATCTTACGGAGTGCATGAAGGTGGGTGAAGCCATGATGAGAGAAAGAAAAGCTGCTCTGACCGTTTCAATCCCTGACCACTTCCAGGCTGGAGCTTCCGAGCACACAGAGCAGGAGCCAGCAAAAGCTGCAGCTGAGCCCTTCAGATGAAGAAATTCTTGGAGGCAGCAGGGGAGAAGAGGGCCATGGTGGCCCCCAGGCCAGCAAGACCACTAATAGGGTTCTCATGGACCCACAAAGCAGTGAAGAGCCACAACAACTGAAATAAAGGAGCCACTCAGAGGCCAGTGAGTTATTGCAAGGGCCCAGCGCATGGCACGTCCCATGGGAAGTGTTTGTAGTGCGGGTGGTGGGAGAGACAGGCCCAGTGGGAAAACACAGGGGCATAGAAAGAACAGCTGATCTTCCCACCAGTCAGCGAAGGACCACTCAGAGGAGACTGGTCAGGAATGTAGAATTGCATGGGGTGCAGTTCGATGAAAAGACTTGGGCCCAGACCAGAGTTTCTACACAACCCAGGTGCACTGGATCTCTTGAGAGCTGGAAGTACCTATAAAGTCAACCACTAAAATCTGAGCTGCACAAAAAGCCTTCCCTAGGGAATCAGCAGCAAAGCAGCAATTTAGCTCAACCACAGAGCTCAGGTGCTGATCCCCGTAGGAATTTCCCCCATTTTAGAAGTAAGCAAAGGACAACAAATTAGTTCCAGCACAGAGTTTAAATGGTGGAAACAGCAAAATAATTCATAACATAAATGAAAGAAAAACCAAAGTACCCCCAACCAGAGACAGTTTCATACTAACTAGTAAAGGTCTCATTTCACCAAAGAACACCTAGAACACCTAGAAGGACTGGAAGTCCCCTGGGCTACCAAACCAGAAAGTGGGGAGGGCTGGGGGCCTCAGCAATGCCCCCAACACCTGCAACCAATTCTGAGGGTGAGCCACAACAGCCTAGGCCACGCCCTTCCAACACACACAGCCAGCCCAGCAGTGACCACCAAGCTGCCGCAGGAAGTACCCTGGGCTCTCCCGAGCCGGGGCAGTGGGAGGTGAGAGCTTTTGCCACACCCCCTTGACATCTGCACCCAGCCCAGCAATAACCAAGCCACCAATGGAAGCCCCCTGGTCTCCCCTGTGAGAATGAGGGGGGTGCCAGAGGCCTCAATCCCACCCTCTTCCTTCCTCCTCTTCCATCCCATTTCCTTGCCCTTTCCCCTCTCCCCCTCACTCCCCACTACTCCACATCTTAGAATGTAAAAAATAATATTTAATAAAATTATATTTTCTTTAAAAAAAATCTCTTAATGCAGCAAATTACATTATTGATTTCCTAATATCAAACCAACCTGCATTGCTAGGAGATATCCAACATAGTCATGCTATATTTTGTATACATTGTTCAACTGACTTGCTATTGTTTTGTTAAGAAATTTTGCATCTATATTCATGATAGAGATTGCCCTTTACTTTTTCATACAATCCCTGTCAGGCTTTGAAATCAGGTTAATAATATTCTCTCGAAATGAGTTGGGGAGTACTTCTATCATTTTTTCCCTACACACTTTAATAGTTTGAATAAGATCAGAATAATTTGTATCTTCAGTGTTTGTTAGATCTCATTTAAAAACCATCTTGATTTGGAATATTCTCACGTGAAGTTTTAAAACTTCTGAACCAATTCCTTTACTGGTTATGGAACTATTCAGGTTTTCTATTTCTTCTGAAGTCAACTTTAGTAAGTTATTTGTTTATTTACGCTTTAGAAATTCAATTGACCTAAGCTTTCAAATTATTGATATAAAATTGTCTACAATATCATTTTATTAACATCTTAATACCTGTGGTATCTGTAGCTTGCTCTTCTTTTTTATTCTTAGCATTGCTTACTTTGTGATTTATCTATTTTTACTTCTGGTCAGTTTTACCTAAAGTTGGTAAATTTTATGCCTTTCCAAAGAACAAAAATTTGACTTTGTTGAGCCTTACTATTGTACATTTGTTTTCCATTTTATGTATTTCTAATATTGTCAATATTATTTCTTTCCTCCTACTTGTTTTGGATATATCATACATTTCCCTCATTTTTAAAGTTGAAGGCCTAACTTTTTTTTTTTTTTT